ATAAGTCAGAATCAACGACAGTCAAAAGTAAACATCCCGACCCAATAATAGTAGTATAAACGTATGAAACCTATTTTAGTTGCACGGGTTTCTACAATAATCGACAACAGGTACACTTGAATCCAAAATAGTTTTAAATCAAACACTAAAAAAACCGAAGACATTCAAATCTGCCAATGAAATTTCCTCAATTTGTTGCAACATTAGTTTTATAGGTAGTTTACTAACTTATTTCACTTTTGTAATTAATACGTGATATATACACATATTTCTATCAAATCTATCTAGTACAAAAGCGAAACAACGTACCTTTTGTAATCATCATACAAAAGTCGAGTAACACAGCCAATCCTGGTTTGTTTCAGGTTAGGGTGAAGGTTGGCGTCTGTTAAAACGTTTAAACCCGCTGCATTTTTATGCACCTGTCCTAAGTCAGAAGCCTGTTGTTCAGTGGTTGTCGTTTGTTGGTGTGGTTCATAAGTGTTTCTCGTTTCTCGTTTTTTATATAGATTAGACCGTTGTTTTTCCTGTTTGAATTGTTTAACACTAGTCATTTTGGGGCCCTTTATAGCTTGCTGTTCAATGTGAACCAAGGCTCCGTGTTGAAGGCCGTACTTTGACCTATAATTGTTTACTTTTTACACATTGTGACTTGGATGGATAGTTGTCTCATTGGCATTCATACCACATCTTCTCATTTATATTGACCAGTCTCGCTTTTTTTTTGAGTTTATGCGATTTGCTCAGTTTTTGTTTCCTTTATTTGTCTCTTCCTAATAAATTTAATAGATTTGAAGGTCTGTTGACTTAATTTGACATCAGCAAAAGGGCGACTTTGTTTTCTTGCAATGTTCAACACGACGGGTGCTATCAGAGGAGATGAAACTACTTACATTTACAGAGTACCAGAGTTCATTCACGGTGTTGGACTGACTTTGTGTTTTGTAATGTTCAGTTGTTAATGTATAATGTTTTGTGGATATTTGTTTGTCTTTTTCGTTTGCGCATGGGGTTGTTTGTACTCCCTTGCATGTTTGTATTGTCCTCTTAGAATCTTCTTCTTCTTACAGTAATTTATCTGATAACGCAGAGGAAATAAATATTGATGCTTAAATATACATTAGCAATTCCAAATGATATTACTGTAGCAATAAAATTTTATAATGATAAAACATTTTACTGATCACAGTTATGTTCCAAAAAAGATAATAAAACCGTTATTGCTCTTTCTCGGAATTTTTAATAAAACAAGTTTAGTGAAAATAAAAAACAAGTTGTATTAAGCATAGAAACATTTCGTTTAGTTTTTAACGCTTCTGTGGTCTCTTTGGCGACTAATCATTCTCTAATCGATCAATTTAAAAAATATACAAAGGATTCATTTACTTCAATTGAATTTGTTTTTTATTTATCTGACACTAACACACCTTGTAAGTTCCAGTTGTAACTGTCTAGTGGTTCTACGTTAAACGAACAAAGTTAAGTGTGAAACAATTCAATTATTAGTTCATTTATGTTTTTAAGCAAACATTTATTAACAGTAAAAATAGCTATATTTATTATAAAAATAAGCATGACATTGATCCCGGTCCGTTAGAACAAATCAAAAGAGAAATCAAACCGTAATAAATCATTAAATAAATATAGGAAGAGCCAGCCATGATAAGGTTTAAAATATTCATTGGTTTATTCCTTTATGATTTCAAGGTGAGGCTTCACTAATTGAATCTTATCAGATAATAGTTATAACTGGAAGTTTCCTTACGCAACTGCATGATGCAATTTGTAAATTGCATTTTAAAGTTCATTGACAAAAATATAAAACCTTCTATTCAAAACGTAAAGCACTTCCTTTAATAGCCTTTATAAATGTTCCCATGGGTAAATTATTATCATAACATTTCTAAAGAGAACAGTTAAATGTGTTTCCCGTCTCAAATGTAGACGATACATAACAGTACGTGCAGTTTGTTGGGTGAAAAACCAGCATATTCATATACACATAAGAATCGCAAAAACAGTTGCCATCATGGAAGTTGCTTCAAGCTGATATCTTTATAAAAAGAATAATTCCAAATCTCACACGATGGTCAAGTTGGTCTATCTAAAGTCAGAAGACTAGTTTTAATCATTAATAGAAAACCAAACAAAATGTAGGAACTATTTTGCAAAATCATAAAGACAGGTTCTGACATAGAAACAGGAAAATTACTTGTGATAGATTTCAAATTTTCTTTTTAGACAAAAGTAATAAACCGAAAAGAACAAAAAAAAAGACTTTTATAAAGAAAAACATATCTTCGATAAACCTTGATTATGAAGGTGAAATAATCCCATAGATCTGAATAATTTGATAAATCATAAATTAGTACATGTACTAATGTGAAATTCTATGAAAAATATCCGTACTGTTTTCTGGCGGGAAATACATTTCCGTTTGACCCCCTCTATTGACGGAATTAGCATAGGCTTATATGGAAAGGGATTCAAAGGGTACATTTATCAAATAATTTTGAGAATAAGTAAAAGAACTTGCTTGGTAAGTATGCTTATCAATGCTGTTGTTTTATTGTTGGCCATTGGCTGGGCCCGATTTGGTGGTGTTACATCTAACAAAGGCTTCTCGAATAATTTGACTGTCCCTCTGGTATCTTTCGTCCCTCTTTTAGAAAAGAATTTCGCTAAAACCGGTGCTAGGGATCGTCTTAAACTTGCAGTGAGGTGAGTTTTTTTTACTCCGTGTTGAAGGCCTCATATTGTGACTTTGAGATGAGGAAAAGCAATGTAGTTGATAGTAATTCTGACTAAGTCGCCAACAATTTTTTTGTAGATGATAGAACGTATAGTATATTAAAACATAATGCCTAGTACTAGTATACACTTTCTAGATAAAGTACAAATTAAAACGGTAAACAAAATGAAAATAACACTGTAAAAACCTCATGTGTCCGAATCGCACCTCTTGACCCACTTCCACCAGGAACGGCCAAAGCCAAAAACCCGATAGCTGGACAAACAAATAGTAAGTCACGTCAAGAGTCACAAATACAAATAAAGGGAAAACTGTAAAGTAAAGGAAAAAGATACACAGTTTCGGCACCTTGATATCTATAAGTCGAGACAATCTGGTATTATTTGTGAAGTAGACACTGAATGTTTGTCCATTAGGTCTTGGTACTTTCCGATGAACCTTTTGAGAAAAAGGAAGGGACATTGTTTGACAGAACCCTGGCTCATTAATCTTTTGCTCATACACTGATTACGTTTTACAAAGTCTAGGTAGCAGTTTGAAGTTTTTGAATATCGTGTGAGTTCAGAAATGTATAGTCCATAAGCGTGTAAAATTGGTATATTGCTGCTACTGGTGAGGAAAATATACAATATCAAAATTGGAGTCGTCTAGTTTGTCATAGACTCTGGTCCAGAAATGACCGCTTTAGTAAGGTATATGTCTAAATTTGAGACAGATGAAGCTATACCTGTGGGTTCTTTAATCTTTACTACTGAAGGATATATCGATGAGACCCACTCAGAAAAGATTGGAATGTTACTGGAAAGTACATCATTAATATACCTGTATGTGAAATTAAATGATCTAGCTTTAGATCTTCTTGTTTTTATAAGTGTCTGAAGAAACTCCGACTCATATAAATAAAAGAAATGGTCGACTAGGAAAGGTGCACAATTGGTTCCTATAGGAATGCCGACCACCTGCTGGAAAACTCTACCTCCAAATTCAACAAATATATTGTAGATGAGAAACTCCAGCATACTGATCACTTAAGCTTTGGTGTAACATGTTTTATTTTCGGTCTCATTTTTAACAAAATATGCCGAATAAGATCCCAAACATTACATTAGAGTATGGTGCCATTTTGGATGAAAACATTGTGGATTATTTCTTTTAGACAATTTTTCAATTTTGTATGTCATATGGTGGTGTAGAGGCAAACATATTACATTTTCTGTTTTTTAAAAAGTTTATTTCCTATAAAAACAATCACATGAAGAACAATATTTTAATAAGCATCTCGTATAATATACGTAAAAATCACATTTCACAATAAAATTAATGCAAATTATCACATTATATTCAGAATAAAAATAATGCATACAACAAAAACCTTGAAACATTAAGAGCAGAAAGGTTTCTTTTTCTCATTGTCAACAATTTAACATAAAAGCATTATAAAACAGAGAAAATCGGAAATAGTCGTTGAAAGCCATGCACTTCGAATGCATCCAAAAAGAATAAAATATCTCGTACAATTCTAAATATGTTTTATCTTTTGTAATCTTATTGTTTTGAATTAAGAAATAAAAAAAAAAAAGAAAAAAAAATGTATCTGTATGATTAAAGAATTATGTACATGCTTTAATAGGCTATGTGTTCAAAAAAGTAGCGCATATTCCATCTGTACGCCATTATCCCAGGCAAGTAATCGACTATTTCTGGCATTATTTCTTGGAAAGTAATTGATCATTGTGTTGTACTGATATGGATTTCTGAATACTGGAGTTGGAACTTTGTATTGTTTATCTGTGTATAAGTCATAAGCATAATCAATTGCTGATTTTGTCTTAGTGATGTCTCTAACCAAATATAGTACACCACCTGCAATGAATCCATTTCCGTATTCTGTTGGATCAACCTCAAGACGCCATGTTTTTATGTTCTGCATTGTCAACGGATCAATTTTCATAATATATAATCTTTTTTCATCACGTGGCTTTCTATATATGGCCCATAATCCATTTTCGTCAAATTCTAGGTCAAAATACACATGACTTTTAGCATATAAATAGTTACTATCATTGTAAGACGCACCATGAATTTCCTTAAAAGTGGTAATGGCTCCATGTGTCAGGTCAAACCTTACAATTGTACTTTCACCAGATCTATGGTAGTATAAAGAACCATTAAAAACCACGTGACTATTCCCATAGTAATGATAACGTCGAAGATCATGTGTCCTATCAATCGTGGCTGACTTAAAGTTTTCATTGGATGTGTATTGATACACATAACGCCCATAGAAGTCATATGTCACATAATAGTTATTAGGCAACGCGGAATCTCGAATCCAACAACCAATCACTGGTCCCGATCGTCTTAGAAAAAGTGGAATTCCAATCATCTTAAGTTTGCGAACTGCAAGATTTTATTGAACAATGAAAATTAATTTTTTAAGTATATCTTTTTTAAAGGGGAACCTGTCATTTTTATATTGACTGTTATGATGACAATATTGATGACAAATGGCTACCTAAGTCAGTTTGTTAATCATTAGACGGCAAATTTGTTTTGCTATTGATAAAAAGATAGATGTTTAATGACTGAAAAAAAAAAAATTCAATCTAAATAATGTAGGTTGTGTATTTTTCTCTTTATTAAAATATAATCTTATGATGTTGTACAGATTACTTAAAATTAAACAAATTTAATATTACATATTGTATACGCAATTATTATGCTTAGTAAGACATTACAACGAATTAAAATGAATCATTTTATACATTGTGTTTCACTTAATGAAATATTGCTGTCAATTGCCGCCTTCTTTTTTCTCTTTATGTATCGGTTAGGTGTCGAACAGTTCAGATAATTTAGTGCGCACCACACGTGATTTTTTATAAACCTTCTTAGGGTGTGCTTGAGACCAACACATTAGAAAGCGCATTATATGAAAAAAAGCCTAAACAGAGCAGCAATAACCGTCTGATATCATTTTCTATTGCATTATACTATAATACTAGTATGCTATATATTATAAGCTGGTGATATAATTACATACACTACAAGTCAATATAAGAGATAAGATGAGGTATTGAGAGAAGGTGTTGGCATTTGCATCATTCTCCTGGTTTTCTGTTTTTACTTCGACTGGATTTTTTACTCCTTTGTAAGCATTAATGAAAATATTCATGCATTCATTAATCTCTAGTATTATTATAATATATCATACAAGTTAATAATGCATTCCGTCTTGTCATTGTTGAAACCTTAAATATAGATAGAGCTACATGTTGAAACCTTAAATATAGATGGAGCTACATGTTGAAACCTTAAATATAGATAGAGCTTCATGTTGAAACCTTAAATATAGATAGAGCTACATGTTGAAACCTTAAATATAGATAGAGCTACATGTTGAAACCTTACATATAGATAGAGCTACATGTTGAAACCCTAAATATAGATAGAGCTACATGTTGAAACCTTACATATAGATAGAGCTACATGTTGAAACCTTAAATATAGATAGAGCTACATGTTGAAACCTTACTTATAGATAGAGCTACATGTTGAAACCTTAAATATAGATAGAGCTACATGTTGAAACCTTAAATATAGATAGAGCTACATGTTGAAACCTTAAATATAGATAGAGCTACATGTTGAAACCTTAAATATAGATAGAGGTACATGTTGAATAATAATAATAATAATAACAACAAACAGGGTCATACAGTTTTTTTTAATCCAATTCCTGTAAGAAAATTTTCCCACAAATTTTCTACGAAATTAAGTAATTTAAATAATACGTTAGGACAGTGTACCTCCCATGTATACATTACAGTTGTCTTAACATGTGTTTATCCTTCAATGCTCATTCCTCCATTAGTTCTTTATTTCGAGCCAAAAAAAATACCAATAATGTTCTTACTCCTTCAATGGTAGACAAATTGAAAAAGTCCATTCTAAATATGGTAAATATCAAGACATTAAGACCCCAAAAAAGAAATAATTTGCTGATTACAAAATGCTTTCCAGTAGAAAATTAATAAAAAGTTGTGAATAAAATATTAGATTATTAGATATAGTAGGTACTAAACACCTTGCAAAGTTAATGAGGCAAAAGAAGACTTTTTTTTAATTTCAATCAGTCTGCATGCATATGGGATGGCAATTGATAGATAAAATAAGTTTAAAAGTTAAAAATGCATAGCAAATGTAACAAGAGACAATAGAACAGGGAAAGTATAGCATAATTGTAATCCATGCAGTAATAAAGTATAATTGCATCCATGCAGTAGCAACTAATTTGAGAGAAAATATTCAGGGAATAAGAAGCCACAAACTGATAACTTGATGCACATTCGAAACCTTTAGTCCGAGGAGGTAATGTAGGTGTCCAGTTTGTTGTTGATAATGCTGTGATCACCGTGGTTTTCGTTGTCGTTGATGCTGTCGTATTTGGTACTAAATGGAATAAAATGTGAACGATTTTTGCTAGATATTAACAGTAGCCAGTTATCGGAGGAGAGGATTAAGTTTTATTATTTTCTTTTTTCTTTTTTTATGCATATCTTTTGAAATCAAGTAATGAATATAAAATTTTAAATATTTATTTTACGTTTCATCAATTTTGTGAAATATTAAAAGGATTAAGTGTACAGCATACCTGTTGTTATCGGAGGTAATTGTGTCGTTTCTAAAATGAAATAGTAAGATTTTTAAATACAAAACCTAAGTACAGAACTAGCTTAACTGTCTTTTTTGTGAAATAGCACCTATTACTCAAGATTCATTTTGTAAAATACGTCTGTTTTTATAATCTAGCCTGATTTCCGATATAACTTTGTAGAGCTCCGTGTTGAGTAGACCTTACATGCTCCCACGCATCTTATTTATGGTACTTCAACATATTACATACTAGTTTTTATTAATTGCAATCAGTAGTTATGGCATGCACTTTAAAAAATTCGTTACATTATAATTATAAGCTCTACCTGTGACATTTAACCAGTAGGAAACATTACTTTCCCACATGCAAACTATGCTATCTTATGGTAGAATGTCTGAATTTAATTCGTAAAATAATTCCCAAAAGTAAGAAATTATTCACTATTATATCACATGATCTAAATTAAAACAAGAGCTTACGAACTGTTATATTCTATTATGGTGCAATCGTTGAGACTAGTGCATCATATGTCTTACAATTTTTTACTTAAAGTTTTGATGTTAACAATGTCTAGACGGAAAGTACAGAATATTGCATGTACTATTGTCTGTACTTAAATATACAAATATTCCATTATGCAGTAAACTTCATCTATCAATACCCGGTGGTACGCATGTCAGAGTTCTTTATAAGCAATACTGTGGATTAATTATTATTCGTGGGATACTATATTTGTTGATTTCGTGGGTGTAGGTAAACCATGAATTAAGAATGTTCACATTTTCTATTGGTTTGAATGCAGACTTTCAAAAAAACCTCGAAATCAAATTTCCAAGAAAATACAGTTTTTTTCTTCATTCCACGAAAATTGGTATCACAAAAATTAAATTAGCTCACAATAAATGGGATTTAATTAATAAAGATATCAAATAAAGAATGGATTGTTAGAACACGTAGCATGATAAATTTGAAAATCAAATTAAAAAAAAAGTGAGTTTTGCAAGGAAAAGCTATACACAAAACACCAGAAATACTACATTGATTACAAATAAAAATGAAAAGGTACACCTGCACATAACAATGCATAAGTCATGCTAGCAATGTGTGGAAAACGTCATTGAAAGCAGTGCTGATTGAAACAACACTTAATGTTACCTGACTGGACGGCTGATGAAGGAGAATCACTGTTGATTCTCCAACTTTCCATTGCTATGGGAGAAGAAACTGCAAAATGTAGGGTATTTCTCAAAACATTATAATGTATACCTTAAAGGTTATAACAAAAATTTTACTTTTGACGTTAATATATTTACTTTAATAAAATAATTGACCCTGTAGTGCAATCAGCAGAAGCAGAGTATGATGAATTCTACGTATCGAAAACACATTTGTACATTGTAAGCCTTAGGCAAATTACTCTCCAGAAAAAAAGCATTTATAACCCCCCTCAATTGAATTGAATTCGTCTTTTAAAAAGTTGTTCCTCGCGGTTGTCTCGTAAGGTATGTTGAACATTCAAACATCAATGTGTCCTTAATTTCAATAAGCTTGTTTTCAAAAAGTTCAATCTAACCTTTCACAAGAATGTTATGCTTTAATTAACTTCAAGCTCAACGTGTCCGGACTTTAGAAACAGAAATGGATAGTATTTAGGGTTGAAGTTGACTCCCTTGATTTCATAAACCCTGATTTTCCGACAATCTTGCCTTTTACAGATCACAGACTTGATCTAACAGCAATGGAATTTAACAATGTGGATTTATATTTTAAGCCGATTTGAGTCATTTTGTTTTCCATAATAAGAGTCTGCAGTGTATGGAATTAGTACATAATGCTAATGTCTAATTGCAAAGACTTGGATTTATTCCATTCTCTTCAAATATACCAATATAAACTAAAGGCTTCGTCATGGTTCAATATTAACTTTGACGTTGCAACACATTCGACATTTAATCGTAAGCTCAAAGTTGTTTAAACATCCCCCACTATGCTCTGAAAACTCGAATCGTCAACTAGAATTAGCAATATATATATTAAATAACTGATGTTTCTGAACGAGACAGGGTCAATCATTTTCCAATTACTCATATTATAAAGCAAATTGACTTATATAAGTGTAAATGAAATGATAAATTGAAAAAAAAATATATATAAAGAAAAGAAAATGTTATTGAAGAAATATTAAATACTTATAATTGCAATAAATGTAAATCGATCCATTTCATTACAAATCTGAATGTTTTCTAAATAAAAACGGAGTATTTATTGTTGAGAAATCACATTTAAAGATAAACGCAAATGAAAAAGCACAACGCAACAACGGGTTCTTATATTTGACGGTAATATAGTATCCATTCTTGTATTGTGACATATTATCGCACATGTGAAAACTTTCTCATTTTGCATTTTATTTCGTTTTACCTTTTTCCTTATAAAGAAACAAAGTGAAAACATTCAACGACATAATAATGATTAAATCAATTAATGAATAATGAAACAACATTTGACACAACAGATATATTACCGACACATGCTCCTTTTGAACCCTTGTCTCCGATATCCCCTTTAATTCCGGGTTTACCAGGAGTTCCTGGTCGACCTCTTAATCCAAATCCTGTTATAGTATATCAAATATGTACCATGCATTATCATAACATAACCATTAGATATCACATCTCTATGATTTTAACACCATTTTAAAAATTGTGTTATATGCTTTGTTTTTTTTTCGTCTTAAAATTACACTTCGGGAAATATTTAAATGCAATCGTTGTTATTGAACTTGTGTTTCTCAATATAAAGAATAAAAAGTGGGAGTATTTTGTTGCTAAATGATAATTCTATGCACTTTCATTGCTTTTGCTCCAATCTATATGTACGAACAAATTTCCATCAACTTGTATCCATCATATAATTTATTATTTTTAGTTGGTTTGATTTTACATGTTTTCCAATTGTTTTAAAGTATTCTGCCTCAAATAGCAGAAGTGTAAAATATTCATAAAGTTTACCCAATCCCAATTCAGAATATTAAATATTTTTGCTCTTTTTATTGTTGAATCGTTATTTTCCTTTTTATCGTATCGAAAGATTGAGGGGCCGCAGCTGTTCGTTAAAAAAGGTGTTCAATATTATAAAAGCTTGATACTTAATTGAATTTATTTACCTGTATCACCCTTCTGACCATCTGAACCTGGAAAACAAAGTTTTAGTTTTAGACAGTTTTAACCAAAGTAGGTTTTTTGTAGCTGAATTATTTACAAGTCAATGACTGAGCTATATATATATGTATATACAGCTAACTTGACCATGGTCAAGTTTTTTCTAAACTGGTTCGCTTGTTTTTTTTTCATTTCTTGGTTTTTTTCATACTGCATTCGTTCATCTGTTTTGTATTGGTTTTTCAAAACACATGAGTTGTGCACAACAAAATAAATGCGGCTTCATTTTGTTGGCGTCAACTTTCAAAAGACTATTCTACGTCTTATTTATAAATGAACTTTACTTTAAAGTTAGCTGTGGAATATATAAGAATGGGAGACATTTTATTTGCAATTTTTCATCATTATATGTGACGATTTACATGAAATTCCATAGTTTTTAAATATGTCAAACATAACATAGATTTTTTTAGCGCCGAATACAGCTGTCATTACAACTTGTAGGTCAGAAACAACGTAGACATGATAACCCCTCTCAAGCGTATCACTTTACTACATTACACCGATATAAACACACATCAAAGGTACCAGGCTTATAATTTTGCACGACATACGCGCGTTTTGTCTACATAAAACTTATCAGTGGCGCTCAAATCTAAACAGTTAAAAACCCAAATAAATACGAAGTTGAAGAGCGTTGAAAACAAAATATTCCTTAAAGTTCATGCCAAATAAGGTTATAGTAGATTTAAACATAAGAAGATGTGGTATAATTGTCCAAGAGACAACTCACCACCAGTGACCAAATGACATAGAAGTTAACAACTATAGGTCACCGTACGGCCTTCAACAATGAGCAAAACCCATACCACACAGTCAGCTATAATAGGCCCCGAAATGACAAATGGAAAACAATTTTAACGAGAAAACCAACGGCCTGATCTATGTACAAAACAACGAACGAAAAAAAAAAAATGATATATAGCAAAAAACGACAACCACTGAATTACAGGCTCCTGACTTAAGACAGGTGCATATAAAATGTGGCGTGGTAAAACAAGTTTGCGGGCGCCCAACCCTCTCCCTAACCTTGGATAGTGGTGTAACAGCATAACAAATGAACAAACTATAGAAATCAGTTGAAAAGGGCTTAACTAATCAGATCGATTCAAAGCAGAAAAAACAAGTAACAAAGACACAGACCAGATGTGGCAGGGTATATACACATCCCCACAAAAAAAAGGCAAGCAAGTACATATCTGAGAGTACTCGCTGTTATTGACAGCTAGTTCAAAGGCAATAACAGCTAATAAAAAAATCATGTATCTCAGACTAAGAGTATACATTTCAATTCCAACAGAATTTTGCATTTTGCAAATAACAGAATCTTGGTGTAACATTATAAATCTATTTATGCTTTAGTAACTTGAAATATTATACTGGCGTGAAATTTCCCGGCAAATCCTGCAATTTGAAAGGGTACCTTGACAGGATATAAACGAGGATCAGAATGGTAAATAATGTTGAAATCAGGACACTTAAGTATAATATAATTGTTACTCGGGCTACACAGGGGATATTGATGACGACTCAGGAAACACTGACAGGGTAAATGAGCATTCGGCACAGGGAATATGTTACGTAAAATATACCCTGTCTGAAACCTAAATAACATATAAGCTTTAGTAACATAACTATGGACTATATCATGCTGTCACATTGTCGTAACGTTCAGTGAGCAGATCTAATACTAAAAACAATTCATAGAATAGAATATCAAACTTATTTTATTCTTATTCTGAACACATTTGAAAATTCATCTGTAGGATGTTAAACATCTATCAATACATCCACCATCAACTGACATGTCATTCCCCCGACATATCTGTCGCCACACAACAAAACAACATGTAACCTACCTTTATCTCCTTTATATCCAGTAAAACCTATTAATCCTCTTTGTCCCTTATCACCTTTCTCCCCACTAGGACCTGATAATTAATTGGTAGGATAAGCATGCAAATAAAACATAATAACCATGTAACAATATAAGAGACTGTGTCATTGTTTTCCATTCTTTAGATGTGGTTGAGCTTTTGATTTTGCCATTTTATAAAGGACTTTCCGTTTTGAATTTCCCTTGGAGTTCAGTATTTTTGTTATTTAACTTTTTACTGTATTAAATATAAATACTATCATGTCGTTTCCTTGTGAAAGAAGAGAGGACACTAACAAAATCTGATTAATTTATAGTTCATTTAAAATGACGTATACATCACGTGTGTTATATTTCCTATTTTGAAAATTTGAAATTTTAGAATATGATATTTTCCTGTATGGGAATTTAATATACTTGTTTTACTTTGAATAAATTATGTTAAATCCTAGGAACACTTACAATTACACGTGATCCTATAACCAGGCTCTCCTGTTTCCCCACTCTCTCCTTTTTGTCCCTTTAGACCTGAATGACCCTGGGGACCAGCTATTCCCATAATGCCTTTTTGACCCTTAAGACCGTCTGGACCTCTTCGGCCACGTTTGCCTGAAATGCCATCTTCTCCTGGTTCTCCAATCTCTCCTGAAGTAAAATAGTTATTAAGTCTAAGAAAAAAAAAACTCATTTAGTTTAGCCTGGTACAGACTATTCTATATAAAATCGTGAAAACTCTTGCTTCTGTATTTTTCCTGTATTTCACTTCAAAAATAAACCAACGGCAACTGATGGTAACATGTTCCTGGTTTGGAACAATAGGTAGAGTAACACCATATCATAAGAACAGGGGCGTCTGTGGCCAAACGGTCTAAGTAGTCCAACTACTGTATCACTAGTCTGTCAACACTTATATGTAGGTGCGTTCGATTTCAATCTTGATTGACTAGGATTGTCAGTTTACCTGGCGAAGGTCAGTGGTTCTCTCCGTGTACTCCAGCTTCCTTCAACAATGAAAACTAACCGCCGCGATATAGCCAATAGCGCTGAAAGTTGCGCTAAACACCAATCAATCAATCAATCAATCAATCATAAGAACATCCTTAAAAAACAGTTAAAAGGGTCGTCGTCTTCAAAGAACCTTTATATTCTAAAGCTATCAAAAAGATCATTTATATTTGAACCTTAGCCTTTGATAACAACAAATTCACGCTGATTTGATTTTTTTTTATTATTCTTGAAGGATTTAATAATCCTACGTATAACAAAGATCATTGACCAGCCATGCAAAAGAAACAAATTTCTTAATGAGTATCCAGCTTTATAAATTACTTTTGTGTTGGATTTTGTTAATGGTCATTTGGGTATTGGGAAATCAAACCTCGCGTCACATAATCAATTGTCAAGTACCAATCGGTACTGGACTGGCATCATCCCGATGTTTTATTAACTTTTTGTTATGGACACAATTCAATTACCGCAGACGATTAATATAGATAACTGTCTCTTTGAAACAAATGAAAGTGATGGTGATGGTATTTCTAATTTCATTTCGTTTAGCCTTCATCTTAACGTCTATATGACTATATCAAAACAAGCATGCTTACTTTATAAACATTTTATAAAAAATCAACGTATAACTGATAACTTATGGAATGCATAGTAGTTCATGAACAGAAGCATCAATCAGCAAAATGTGCTAAAACATAAACTCCATTATCTCTTAGAGACCTATTTTGAATAGAAGATATATATACAATAAATCTTCCCTGAACAAATTATAGACGGCTATGATAAACGATCTACTTTAGTTTATTCTTTTTACACATTTGCCTTAATTGTTGAAATAGGTATTGCTATCAGATCTCGATGTGACACAACTGACTAAAAAAAAGGATGAAAATTACCATTGAGGCAACCAAATCCTTATGTTGAAAAAAGCCAAACAACACCATGGCTAAAAGGAAAACAGACGAACAGACAAAATTATCCCACAAAACAATACAATCAAATAATTACATTACATGTAGGTTTCATTATAATACGTTATTTTGATTGGCTAACAGCAATCTCGCGTCATTCTGAAATTAACCTTCATTTCAATGAAATGTAACATTCATCATGACACGAGCTTCCACAATAAAGTGCACAGGTAAATAAAAGAAATCGTGTTTTCATGATCGTTGCAAAAAAAATGTAATTATAAGTATTGAATGTTTCTTTTAGTAATTCTATAGGAAGGTAAAAGCGTTGACCGTGCGCACATTTTTAGAATTAAGCGCTTCATACAAAATGTACTTCGGTCAACGCTTTTACACCCCAATAAATTTACAAAAGAAGCATTAAATTCCTAACACGGGTCCCACTGAAATAAAACCTATGCTGAACCCGGGGCTCAAGAAGTGTGAACAGTTTCTTTTTCAATGTAATGTATGAAGTAAATGTTGTACGCCTCTTTACATATTTGAAATAAATGTACCCATTTGGTACCACTAGGTCATACGACGGTTGTTGAATGCAATACTTGGTTTGGCGAAGCATCTGATGGCTCTTACGGACTTATTTTGTTAGGGGTTCAATGTGCCAAAGTAAAAGTTTAGTCTTCTTTTATTGACTGACTTTGTTACTTTGTGTTTCGGTTCATATGTCAGGTTCAGAACAAATGATAGGTTCAGGGTATATATTAGGATCAATACTGTAACATATGTCATGTTCAATACATATGCCTAGCTCGGTACATATGTGAGGTTTGGTACATATGTCAGGTACGGTACATATGATAAGTTCGGGGTATTATACATTAGGTTCGATACTGTAACATATGTCATGTTCAATACATATGCCAAGCTCGGTACATATGTGATGTTTTGGTACATATGTCAGGGGTACGGTACATATGATAGGTTCAGGGTATACATTAGGTTCGATACTGTAACATATGTCATGCTCAATAACATATACCAAACTCGGTACATATGTGAGGTTTGGTACATGTGTCAGGTACGGTACATATGTAATATTTTGTCCAATACGTGTATTATCGTGTAGAAATTCAAAGTTTATGTAACTTACATTTTAACACAGTTGCTGTAGTATCTGATACTTATCTATCAGTAATGCGAAAGAATAGAAAATAAAAGTTTGAATCAGCCTTACCTTTAGGTCCTCCTGTCCCTTTAGGACCAATAGGGCCTATGATTCCTCTGTCTCCTTTATCACCCTTTACTCCGGATAGGCCTGTATAAATAGACATTGCATAACATTTTAAATCACATAAATGTAAAGTTTTCGCTTGAATAGAAAAAAGACCTTCGCTACGATTAAAAGAAATGAATTGTTGGAAATTTGACGTAAGTAATGTGTGTTACATTTGCATAATACATGTATGGTGGAAGCGTTAAATAAAATATTTTGTCCGCATGTACCAAGAAAAAAAACATTGAAACAAAAATCATCATTTAACAAGTACAACAGCAATGTTAAGGTAAACAAACTACGTGTTAACAAAAGCAAAAGAAGTGGCACAACCGGAAAGCAGAAACTCATGCAACAAAAAGCTTTCCCAATTATCGTCAGAGAAGCACAAAACTAGCACTCTAGCCCATAATTTGACAGTCAAGGTCAATGTAGTTGGCAAATGAAGGTGTCTAAGGTTAATTGTTCCTATAAACATACCGTATGAAATATAGCTCCCTTTGTTATTCTCAAGAAACTACCCTCAAAGTTTTATTTTCACAAGTTTTCTCATTGCCACGTTATTTTCAAAGTAAAACATTCCGAAATATTTGTTGTGGTCGAGCTATTTTGTTTAATTTAACTGTATGAGTAATAGTCAATGTAGAGGCTTTGAAGCCCAATAATGTATTATCTTCTTGGCATGGTAGATGTATATAACCAAAGAGTACCTCAACACCAGTTTCATTTTAGAGTAGATGTGTGGACGTTTAGTCACATTTTTCGTTCGTTTTACTGGTAAGTTTGTTTCTGAGCTTTGTTTTACTGATCCAAAAGACGTCTTGGAATCTCAAATAACTTTTTAAATCATTCTTATGGGTACTTGAAGTTTAAGTCACTGATTCATGTATTTTCATTGACATTCTCTATGGGAATAAATAAATTCAGGCTGCAGTTTTAATAAAATATAGTAATTACTGAAACTTTTCTTTAGCATATTGTAATATGACGTTAAATTTACATTATTGTTATTTTACAACGCATATTGAGCTTTTATACATTTATTACATTGATGAGAAAATATACTTACACGACGACATTCATGATTTCAAAGGTTGATTTACAAACACAAACACGAAAATTCATGTAAAAAAAAAACCCAAACAAAACCAAAATAGGCAAACCAAAGTAATAAAACACAAATATGCTACGACAACATCCATAAACCTTGTTCTCCTTTATATCCTGGAAATCCCAGTAAACCATCATGGCCCTTTTCTCCTTTGTCCCCTTGAGCACCATCTCTTCCTAGAAAACGTCTTTCAAAAATGAATTCAATAACCTTTCGTTACGTAAAGCCGCATTATCCCAGAACATTGATTCCACCTTGATGTGATATTATAGGAAATTATCAGGACCAATGATATCTATCTGTGAATGGTTATGTTCATCTTGCCTTTATTTTTTATTGTACTTTAAACCGTATAAAAGAAGTTCTCTCTTATATAAGAAAATAATTATTTAAAAGGGACGGATCTCATCTGTGCTCCCTTTGGCAAAATTGACCTCAGATAGTTTTGACCATCCTGGTTAGGTACCTTTTGATTGTATGGCTCCACAAGTATTTAAGTACCATTCTGCCTAAGAATCAGGCAGTGGTGGAAACATGACTAACAAAAACCCACTCAGCTTTACATCAGTTCAAGTTCAGAATGTATAATGGTGTATGAATATAACATTCCTTTCATTTCCCTGTTCAGGTAATTCAAGATATAATTTGGTTGAAATGCTATAGAAATTAACAATTAAGGGGAGTTAACTCCGTAATTTGCTATCATTCTAACCAAAATTTATCTATATATTTCTCGAATTACCAGACACGCAGAAATGAAAGACCTACCATTTCTAACTCAGGATGAGGGTACCTTCAAAATAGGGTGGTTAGATCCTTGGTTTTTTTCCGGCCATGTTTTAAATTTTTTCTAAATTGTCTGATTCTTGCAAAGACTGGCACTTCAACAGTCATTATGGGTTATATTTTTTTTTAATTCTAAGCGGAAATGATGAAGATAAATCCCGGCAGAAAATGTATAAAGTGTTATTTTCTAGCACTTGGTGGATATCGTTGTGCTGGGCTATAAGTCCCTGGGGGGTATCATCAGCAAACATTAAATGCGTAACAACTGGCATGATTCATAACATACATTCCTCGGTGGATAGTTGTCTCATTGGCAATTATACCACATCCCCTTATTTTTATATTTCTTTGATTTTTCATAGATGAATTTATTAATCATTAAAAAAGGAGCTTGTAGACGGTTGTTCTGTTTAGGTACTATATGATCATACAGCTTCTCAAGTATTTATACATCCCCTGCTTCAACACTTTATGTTTTGAGCATTCCTACTGAAGAGAGAGCACTATTGTTATTCTATATCTTATTGAACTAATTCAAATATGATAACTATTTTCTAAAGTAACGGTTTCGCAGAGTCTTGAACAAAATATTGTAATTTATAATTTATAATACAATACTAGATGCAAAATACTGCTCAGGATAACTAGCCTGATGTTGAGGGGAAGCTAACATGTGGCTTTATCTACGTCATGAAAGTATAAAGTAAAACATATGTAAACATGTTAAAGTTCTCAAATGGATGACAAGTCGTATAACATTAAGACCCAGTACTACCCATTGGTTCTGTCAGTCGTATGACATTTATAAACAGTATTAACCTACAAGACCAGCTGGACCAGGGGGTCCCATTTGCCCAGTCAGTCGTATAGCATTAAAACCCGGTACTTACCTGGAAGACCAGCTAAACCAGGGGTCCCATTGACCCAGACAGTCGTTTAAATTAAGAAAATGTACTGACCTCTAGGACCAGCTGGACCAGGGGTTCCATTGGTCCAGTCAGTCGTATAACATTAAGATCTAGTACTAACTTGGGAGACCAGATGGACCAGGGGGTCTCATTGGCCCAGTCAGTCCTTACATTCGATATAATTAAGATCCAGTACTAACCTGGAAGACCAGCTGGACTAGGGGTCCCATTGGTCCAGTCAGTCCTGACATTCCATATCTTTAAGACCAAGTACTCGCCTGGAAGACCAGCTGGACCTGGGGTCCCATTTGCTCAGTCAGTCGTACAACACTAAAACCCGGTACTAACCTGGAAGACCAGCTGTACCAGGGGGGTCCCATTTGTCTAGTCGTTCCCGACATTCCGTATTATAAGAAACAGTACTAACCTTTAAGACCAGCTGGACCAGGGGGTCCCATTGGCCCAGTCATTCCTGATATTCCATATTCACCTTTCTCTCCTGCTACTCCCTGGTCACCTGAGTAGAAAATAAGAAATAGCTATGTGATATTAAAGCGATTGTTTACAATCTTATTTGTCAATGTTCTAACTTTCTTAGCCTACGGATAGTCAGGAGAGGTGGGCCTATCACTCCCGATAGTTAGGATCGTCCCGTGACATTTGGGAAACCGATTTTGTCTAGTTGGAAGACAATCGTGACTATGTCGTGACAGATTCTGCTGTATCGGATCAAAACCGTTACAATGTCCTATGTTGTCTGGAGACATTTTTCAATGCCGTTTCTTGCCGCTTGAATCCAGATTTCGTCCAGACCTTGCCGAATGTCTTCCCTTTGTGTCGGTTTAGTGTATGGTCACTGTCTTATCTTTGCCGGATCGCAATCGGGAGTGTCGGGACATGTTCTCTCGTTTTTTCTATGCGAAAGATTAAAATCGAATCAGAATCGGATTGAGGACAGGATAATCGTGACGAATATGACAGGAAACGGTTGATCCTACCTGAACAATATCTGAATATTGTCGAGATTAAATAAATGTGTCCACATTTTTTTCCGAAGACCATCCATCCAAGACCAACTTTGCCTGCGGGAATAGGAACCTTAGATCTTTTACAGATTAAATTTCATCATGCAGCTTTTATATAATGATCATATTTCATTTATTTACACAATTATAGGCTGATAATAAGCAAAAGAGAGGCGAAAGATACCAGAGGGACATTCAAACTCGAAAGGGTATATAGAATATGATGCGTTTCTAAATTAACATCGTCAAGCACTTTTTGCACTAGTATTATGCTGACTCATACCTTCTTTAAACATGGCTTATTTTTGTGATTTGCTTGTTCTTATCTCTTTATTTAATTATTACGTTAATGTCATTGCTATATATAACTTCTTGGTTAAGAGCTAATGACAATCTGATTGAAATATAGAACATGTGTCCAAGCTTTGCGTACAAGGATCTGAAAACGCTCCGTTCTATTTTCTGTTCTAAAGATGTTCGGGATCATCTGGTTTTGTCGTTATATGACACCAATCTTCAAAAATTAAAAGGCTGGAATGTCATTGGCTTATGCAATTATTACCAGAACAGAAAGTAGAACGCAGTGTTGTCAGATCGTTGAAAGTAGAGCGTAGACATGAGGATCTGCATTTTAATCAGATTGCCCTAATAACAACATGGTAAATGCGACCGAGTCTTCTGACATCACATAGAAAGAACGCATAAATGTGAGTCATATTATTGACGTCAGACTGTGTAACATATGGTCTAACCATTTTAGAAAACAGTCTACTACTTCACCACGTATTTAAAAATACATTCACCTCTCTTGACATTTGAATTTTGAACATAAGAAACGCTTGGTAAGCCATACATTGTAAAAATTGAAAAATTAAAATGTTACAAAGAGAGACAGTTGTATCTGATTCGTGGATGCGATTGTAGATTGTGTTAACAATAGATATTAAAATCCATGGTGGTAAACGATTTCTACTTTTTAATGGATTTCAGACCTAATCTTCTATATGTTGAGGGTAGTTATTTTAAATATTAAAATCATATCGTTATTCCGTCGATAATTATAACTTTTTCTCAATCTTACTTTTCTATCAAATTGTATAGGTTCTATGAATCAATTGAAGGCTTCACGCATATTAATGTACCTCGTTATATAATAGTAATTGTCTGAACACTGAGATGATATCTATTTTATATTTAATGTCAGCTTAGTTGATTGCTTTTTAACCTTAAAGGGAATATGAAATATACCTATTGCTTATACCATTTGGGGATATGTTTCTGTTTTTCTTAATGCAAACAGCAATTAATCGCTCTATTACCGGATTAGTTTAAGCAATATTATGATCAGTAGCAGTCATAAAGTCTTTTTGTAAGAAGACATGTTTAAATACCTTACCCCAACTAAAACAAGCTGTGAAGTAATTATTGAAAAGGTTTAATATTGTTAGTTTGTCAAGCTTGTCTTACAATAAATAATAATCAATTGTCATGCTAGGCTACTTTCTCAATTTAAAAGTTTATTTATGGGTTAATTATATAAGTTGATGCTTTCAAAAACTTTATTTTTGTTGTGAAAATAACGACTTTAATGATTGCTTATTTTCTTTTCCTTTCTTGTTTGTAGTTGTCAGTTTCTGTCTCATTGACACGCTTTCCACATCTCCGTACACTCATATATAAATGTGATTGTGGCCGACATTAATAGTATATATACCGGGATACATAAGAACATTCGCGCAGGTCAAAATTTATTGAAACAAAACATTGACAAAAGATCAATTAAATATCAGCAAACATATTTTTGAGGGTGAAAGTCTTATGGTGGAAGTAATCTGTCTGACATCTATGTATTTGTGTCTGTTACAATGTACATTAATAAAGGTTAAACACTCCGAGTAGGCATAGTACTCAATTTAAAGTGAATACAACATGAAATGAGAGAGGGAGAGAGAGAGAGAGAGAGATACCTTACCCTGACGCATCATTATATACAGTCAAACTTGTAGCTCACTAAGTACTTGAGAGAAAAGTACAGCCATTGATATTATACTAGTACATGTGTGATGGCATATCTTATAAACAAGTTTAGCTCTTTGCATTTGATTTCAGTAGCTGTTAGCATTCCTTGCCACGTATTATGGCTTAATATTTGTTCTTTTACTTGTCTTTTTGTAATTTGTTTACCGGTATCCCTCCACATGGTGCATGTCCAAAGTCAGGTTTTTACCGGTATCCCGCCACATGGTGCATGTCCAAAGTCAGGTTTTTACCGGTATCCCGCCACATGGTGCATGTCCAAAGTCAGGTTTTTACCGGTATCCCGCCACATGGTGCATGTCCAAAGTCAGGTTTTTACCGGTATCCCTCCACATGGTGCATGTCCAAAGTCAGGTTTTTACCGGTATCCCTCCACATGGTGCATGTCCAAAGTCAGGTTTTTACCGGTATCCCTCCACATGGTGCATGTCCAAAGTCAGGAACCTTGTCAGTGGTTGTTTATATTTCATCTTAATGTTTTGTCTTTAAAGAATGTGTTGTTGAGGGCAGATCGTTTGTGCTGTCTCTGTTAAATTGATTAATTACTTTTGGAGAATCAACTCAAGTTTAGAGCATGAATTATCGTATAAACAGTTATCTTTTGGTCTAGACAGTAGAATAACCCGAAGAAATCTTAAGTTTATATGTTCTGGTAGCTGTCTAATTTACGTATAATCCACATATCTTTTAGTTCAAATTCTTAAATATCAATCGAATAAATAAAGAAATCATAAAACGCTGATAAGCGACGGATCCTTTTAAGGTAAAGCTGTATTCGCTTAAAATCAGCGCTAAATGTATCCTTACAAGTTGCAGGTCATTTAGTGTCTGAAAAATGAGCGTTGATTCACAATTAAAAGAAAAGAGAACAGACGTTACTTTTGTTTAAATGAAATACATGTACCATTTAAGGACATTGTTACATAAATTTGAATAATGTACACTCCTTTATATGGATCATTCAACCACACTTATCAAAAGCACTCTGTACCTTAGCAGTATCCAACGTATCTGTCTGTTGTTGCTTCTTGATCTTTTAACGTTGGGTATACCAGATGAAGCTTATTCGCATTTTAACGTTGGGTATACCAGATGAAGCTTATTCGCATTTTAACGTTGGGTATACCAGATGAAGCTTATTCGCATTTTAACGTTGGGTATACCAGATGAAGCTTATTCGCAAAAATAACATAAACTACGACAAACTCCGTTTGTTTGTTTCTAATTTTATGTTAAACTTTGACTCAAATATGAAGTGTATAACCTTCATCTTTTACCACACGGTCAGATTTTCTTAAGATGATCTACATAGTGGATAATGATTGATGGATTAATGTCAGACTATGATTAAAGTATGACAAAAATTATCCGGGAACTGAGATTGGAAGAGGACACTGACGTGCATGCGAATGTTGAGGAACTCAAACAGATCACAACAATATAAAGAGCAAACTAAAATAATAATACATACACATCATGCATGGGTTTTAAGGGGAGGACTTTGAAAATTCTTTCAAATCAACAGACCATGTAACCAGTAGACATGAATAGAAATACATATCGTTATAAATGTATATTGATCTACTATACGAGTCAAACAAAGGCAGACATGCAAAAAAATCTGAATTACAGTTTTGTAATATAATGGCATATTTCATATTGAATTACCTTTGACTCCTTGTGGCCCAGGAATTCCTAAAATATGGGAGCAAAATAACATAAAATTCATAAAGCAGCTACAAACCAAGCAGTGAACTAAATACATACAGAGCACTTAGCTGCATATAAACAATATGAAATTATCAAATGTTACGAAACATAAAAAAAAAAAACATAATCACAGATTTATTTAAAAGAGAATTCGAATGCACAAGAGTTGCTCTCCTCGAAGACACCACGTCCTGTGAGGTGCCAGAATCTGGAAGCTGAGAAAATAATGTCCTGTGAGTCCTATTGATATAACAAGCTTTTTTTATATTGAACATTTATAGTCACGTTTGAATGTATTCTGGAGAAGTTGATATAAACGGTGAACTTTGTATATAATACTTGAATAATGCTAATTTTGTTTAGGGGCCAGCTGAAGCACCCTCCGGGTGCGGCATTTTCTCGCTGTGTTGAAGACCCACTGGTGGCCTTCGGCTGTTTTCTGCTCTTTGGTCGAGCTGTTGTCTCTTTGACACATTCCCCATTTCCATTCTCAATTTTAAAAGAATAATGTAAATATTAATTGTTTATGTTTTACTGGACGGGTCACATTACTTGACAGATCACTTTTAAGAAAATAAAAAGTACTTTTTTATTTGTAAGTTTGCAGCAAAAAACAAAACGACAAGCAAAGCAAACAAACTATATAAACAGTTATTTAATTACATCTTACCTAAATTCTGTTCTTTGCATATGTTCGTTAGATATGCACATTCTTGCATAGTCTGAAAGTTAAAAAGGGGAAAGCTTAATTATTGACTGGAAGATGTTCATATCTAAAAGTGTTTACTGGAAAAAAATGAAAACAACACGTTAAATAATTTCAAGCGTCCGAAGCGTTTTTCTGGATTTACCTTCATCAGGAACGCTCAAAGCCGAATATTTGAAAGCCGAGAATGTATATGAACAGAAACAGTTGAAGAGTTATATGACAAAAAAAAGAAAAAAAAAAAGAAAAAAAACTAATATTTTGTTATCTTTAGTATTGAACGTTACAGGCAAGGTATATTTGAACACATCATTCAATAATTAAAATACAAATGGGATGAGAGTAGGATATACCAATTACTATATTTAAAGTTGAAACATAGGTAATTGTTTGTTCCAGTTCCACATCGATATTATATATTAAACCCTTTATTAAAGCAACTTATCTTACTATTCTTAACTGAAAGATGTATGTTAAACTTTAATGCTGTACACGTGTTATTTGGGTTTGTTGTTTTCTATTTATTTAGGTTTATCTATTTTCCGACCTTTGCTGTAATAAGAGGAAATTTGATATTGGCTTGGAGATAAGGAGATAAATGAACCTCAATATATCTTAATTCGTAACATTCCATATTTGATTAGGATTATAACACAATGTTGACTGTTGTACCACTATTTTTGACATTTTTATCTATTTTGTCTGTTTGTTTTGTTCACACATTGTTGTCAATATAATGGAATTTTATGCGACTGTCATACAAGTGAGAGGTTTAGCTAGCTATAAAACCAGGTTTAATCCATCATTTTCTACATAAGGAAATGCCAGTATCAATGTTTGATATATTTATTCACAAATACCAAATATTTATATTACATAATCGTCATTGATCTGATTTTATTCTAAAACAAAGTGTTTTTTTATGACCGTATTTGACTTTGAAATGTAATTAGCGTGGCCTAATTAACTCTGTGATATAATTAGACGCAGTTTTAATATGTAAAACATTTATATGTTTATTTATTGCAGTAACGGTGAAAGATAAAAGGTTCGGGTTGCAGCTATATTACCAAATTACTATGAATTAACAAACCTAATGTTCTTGATTATTTGTTCTAGATGTTTATACTGATAAAAAAGTCATTTGTTTTATTTGAACCAGAACAAGTGTGATATTAGAACAACTCCAGCTAGTAAATATTTATTGAAGCTTCATGTGTTTGTGAATGCTTATTAGCTATTTTCCGTGTATGTATTTTATGAATATTTTAAGGAATGCAATCTTATTTGGAAAGGTTATCTTTTAAGCTTTGATCTGAGCATTAAAGCATTGATCTAAGTATTATATTGATACCAAATCTATTACAATTATGGTCTGAGTAAAAAGTAAAATTACAAAAATACCGAACTCCAAAGAAAATTCAAAATCTTATCAAATGACAAAATCAAAAGCTGAAACACATTAAAAAGAATGGAAAAAACCTGTTATTCCTGACTTGGTACAGGCATTTCCTTGTGTAGAAAATGATGGATTAACCTGGTTTTATAGCTAGCTGAACCTCTCACTTGTATGACAGTCGCATAAATTTCCAGTATATTGACAACAATGTGTGAACAAAACAAAAAGACATAATAGATAAAAATGTAAAAAATAGTGATACAACAGTCAACATTGTGTTATACTCTTAATCAAATATGGAATGTTACGAATTAAGATATATTGAGGTTCATTTATCTCCTTATCTCCAAGCCAATATTAAATTTCCTCTTATTACAGCAAAGGTCGGAAAAAAGATAAACCTTAATGAATAGTCAATTAAAATTAAATCAATTTTTGGTAAAATACCAAGGAGGCATTACAAAAAGTCGCAAAAAGAAACGCAGACAAAACCATGACAAAAAGAAAATGGACTTATCCGACAAATAAAAGTCCACAAAACACTGCCTAGAGTTCGAAAGATGGAGTGACAGTACACATACCCAACAAAATCATTAATTGTAGTAGAAATCAGGAGTTTTAAAGTTTTAAATTATTTTGCTTGTTTGTAACCCTTTTCTGTCACTTTACCAGTCATTGCCCCTATCACAAGCACCTATTTATGGACCAAAGCTGACATCGAAGAATAGTTGTTAAATGAGCTGCAAATGTAAATAGAACACCGCGCGTAAGAGTGTCACGTTTGATCTCTGCATGTTAAATGAAACTGTTAACCCAGAAATATGTCTCACTGGATTTGCTTAGTAAATTGTTAACTATTATATTCTATATCGGAGTAGATGTCGCTCTATTAGATTTACTTATCTGAAAATGTTAACATTGACCAATTAAAACTTTCAAATAAATCAGGCATCACAATCATGGCAAATACTTGTACTTATATTTGAATGAATAATCAATCAAATTCAAAATATCTTCATTGAATTGCAATTAATATTTCTTAAAGCGCTAACTGAGTAAATTGAAAACTCCATATATGGACTGAAGTGGCATGACTACGGAAAAGAGATTTATACTATTCCACAAACTAAAGTACATGTATAATTATGTAGCTGCATATTATATCAGATCCCAATTGTCGAAGGCCATACGGTGACCCACAATTACTTAAATCCGCTATATTTGGATTCCGTTGGATAGAAGTCTCATTTACTATTATGCACATTTCCTTATTTGATATCAAAACCTTATAACAAATACCTAAGGATCGGTACGTGACCTCTTGCTAGACAAAAAGTCTAAACCTAGCCTACATATCCTATTTTTTATTGATTCAAAATTTTCCGCTCTCCATTCGTTCGGTCCACTCTGCTGAACCTACCTATGCAAATTTCTTAACACGCTAAATATCAATGCAATGTTTAAACACTAGACGAAATGCCTTTAAAATGTATAATATCAAAAATTATTATGCATGCAGAAATTCAGTAGTTGCTGTCTTTTCATAAGAATATACTTTCAAATAAAAAATATAACGGAACACTAATTTTCAAGGAAATTAGAAGCCTTTTAACAGCCAGTAGGAATCCCTGCAGTGTACATTTTGACACCTTTGATCAGATATGTGTAATATATTAATTAGACACAATCTGTATGCTTTATTTGTATTTATAGGTCGATATAAGTTAATCATAAGGCCATTTGGAACTCTTATCTGATTGACCAACATACTAGACTCGGTTCCTTACACAATTAAAGTGTTGAAAAGGAATAAATATTTTACGATTCCATTACCATTGACATGCTTGGAGATCAATATTTACCAGTAATTCAAATGTAGTTATATTACGGAACTGTTAATGTATCTTTTGTTTTGTTCATCTATAAAAGAGTTTTTCTTCTTAGAAAATAACTAACATTACCTAAGTGATTCCAAAAGTTATCTCATTTCAAAACAACTTCTGAAAGAGTTATTGAAACAGTTGGTTTGCTTAGAATACAATAAAACGAATTGACTCTCGCGGGATTAGCTGGAACGAGGATTGTCTCCTAAAAGCTCATTTTTCAGCTTTTACATTAAACACGAATTTCTCTCACAAGAGATGTAGGATACAAAACGTTAATCTGACAATTGTGTTTCATTGTTAGAATTAATTACACTTTCGGGATGATTACTTCTGCGATTTTCTGCTAAATTCGATTTGAATTAAATTGTGAAAAAATAATTATCATAATTTAAAATGTATCCTACAAAAAGAAAACAAAAAACAAACCAGGAATCTGTAGGAGTATATATATATTATATTGTAATTTCTGCAGATTCCAGGTTTGTTTTTAATATTCTTTTTGTATGACAATTTTAAATTATAACAATTATTTTTTATTGTAATTTCATAGATAGACATATACTAGGAGTAATTTTAATTCACATTGCCATCTTTCGTTTATGAATATACATATCATAAGAAAATGAAAAAAAAAAACCACTTAAAAGTTGCATGCGTTCGAAGCACTTTTCTGGATTTATCTTCATCATGAACGCTCAAAGCCGAATATTTGAAAGCCAAAGATGTTTAAGAACCGAAACAATTAAAGAGCTATATGACCGAAAATGACCTCAAATTATATCCAAATCCATTTTAGGTCAACTTTTGACTGAGGAAATTGAAAACTTAAAGATAACAAATGCCTATTGAGGGAGACTCGTTAGTGTTGGTTAGCCATAACTAGTTCTTTCATCGGCATAAGTCCGTGGAGAACCTAGCGAAGTCCATGCTTCTCAGGAGTTAATTCTATCTGCTATAAAAATATGTAACATAACTATGTTATATGGGACTACTAATATCAGCTCAGTGTACATTGATATCCAATGCACTCACCATAGATATTAGGCTTTAAATTTTGTACTCCAGATGCGCGTTTCGTCTACAAAAGACTCAACAGTAAGGCTCAAATAAAGTACGAAGTAGAAGACCATTGAGGACTCAAAATTCCGATAGGTTTTGCCAAATACAGCTAAGGTAATCCTGGGGTAGAAAATTCTTAGTAAATTCTAAGTTTTAAGTTTTGGAAACAGTTAGTTTATAATTATGATCATATCAATGATAATTCATGTCAACATAGAAGTTCTGTCTGCTGGGCACAATATCTTTTTTTAATCATAGAGTAACCTTTAGTTAGAGTGGTCTGTTATACTGTCCAGTATCTCTGGTGGTTCTTGTCGTCTTTAACAATGGCAATCTATTATTTACTAAGTGTATAACTGAATTCTTTGTTTACCTTGTTTCAATGAAAAAGACAACAACACATATTGCAAATGTACCTAAAAAAAGTCGACAACATCTACTATGTAGTTTGTGTGTTACTGTATTCTCTGTACATTGTCACCAAAACCCTCAAAAGTCAGACAACCACAAGTATGGATTTTCTCTGTTTAGGACTTTTTTATTTTAACTTGCCAAACTTTGTCTGGAGAATATTTGATGAAAGTTATATGATTTACAACGTTTCGTGAGTACTTAATGTAGTATCATAGATATCCATCTACATTATATTAACAGGAGACTTTTTAAATGAGA